TTAATAGAGTATTGTTGTAAAAAGAAGGACCTTTCCTCACTCCTAAAATCCAAACCTTGCTTGTGTAATCAATGATATCATTGAAATATTTTAGTAGACTTCCTTGATTTATTGAGATCCAAGTATGCAAAGCCTGGAAGAAATGCAGACTGTGGAACATTTAGCGTGTATTGGGGAAGAGAGATATAAACATGTTGAGTCATGTTTTTTTGTCATTTGTATAGTTTATGAAGATACCCTACAGTCATTGCACACTGAGGGAGCACAGAGGGAGTCCTGTTGCACTGCTGGGACATGAAAGAATTGGAGCAAGCCCACTGACTGCTGCTTTACTGCTGTACTTCCAGATCTTCTCAGAGAACCAACAACACCCAAAACCATCAGTTTTGCCAAGTGCTTCAAAATACAGGCAAACTACCTTAAACTTGTTTGTATGTTGCAATAAGCAATTTTTAAGAGATGAATTACTTGAAATTTGGTAACTTGTGCTCATCCAAAGGCACGTGTTTGCAGGTGCAAGATGGACTAGAATTCCCCAGAGGGAAAGCAGTAGTTTGGGCTGCAGAGGATGGAGGCACAGTATTCACATATAACTCACCTGCTGGAGTTGTCAGCAGAAGAGTCTGCAGCTGACTGGGACAGAGAAGCATAAATGACACCTAACTAGGCCAGCAAGACAGGGTGAGCCACCAAAAGTGCCTGTTTCTTACCTGTGGTCTTTTGGGCAAACATACATTTTATGAATTGACAATACTGGACAAAGCTCCTTTTTAAGAGCAGTGATGTAAAAATGACGTCTTGGGTGGCCATTCATGGTTCAAGTAGCAGTTTATATATTTATTATAATTATACACAACCTTGACAATCTATATTGCCATTCAAAAATAAATTGAAGTATTGTCAATTCGCACATGATCTGTCACTAATAAGAATGCCATTTACATACATAGTGAACAATTTGCATACTTGGAACACTGCTTTAAATTCTAACACTCCCATCTTTTCCCTCCCCCCATCCTGCGGAGATATGTTTAGACTATGTAAACAAACTTTTCCAACTATGCCACATTCAGGGACTGCTGCCTTTTTTTTTAATAAGCCATTTCAGCGCTTTGTAAAGGTGGCTGGTAGGTATAGCTCTTAATTGCAGTTTTGTTTAAAATTTGTTACAGATCACGTTGCAGTGATTTCTTTCCTTCTGAGCAGGAAGATGGAAAACAACGCTTAATATATCAGGTAAGTAACATGAGCACCTTTGCAGTTTAGGATTCTGCAGTGCCAAGTTACCTTTAGTTGTTTTCACTGTTATTTTTACATGTTTATTAAGTGGCTAACGTATTCAAATTTCAACTGTGAATAAGTAAAAACTCTGCTAAGAGTCAGCTACCACATGCTTTCTCTAGCCTATTATGTATACTCCAAACATTGTCTTGAGAGCTGAAATGAAAATCTGAGGCATTAACTGCCTTGTGTTGAGCACCATGGTTTTTACTACCTCTTTTGACAGAGTTTGTCTTCTGGTGCCTGAAAGGCTAGAAAACTTAGTGTAACAGGAAAAAAAAAAAGCGCATTAAGAGGCAACAGAATATTCTTCCATCTGGTTAAAGCAAGCTAAGTATAGCAACCTTAGAACTTACAGACACCATACTAACCCACAATTGAAGTCTGGGCATCTGGGCTTCAGTGTAAGGGCTCGCAGAAGTAATTAAGCACTACAGTGTGGTAACACAAAAATGAAAGTCCTAATTTTGACATATGAGGTCCATGATGTTACTAATATATAGTAATTGAATTCAGCTTCTCCTCCTACAGCAGCTGGCTGGGTGCTTTGAATCAGCAAACAGCAGCATATTAGTAAAATGGTTTCAAGTTTTTGAAAGCTAGTGCCTATTAAATGCAAGGCATGGATACCTTGGATAAGCAGAGCATTGAGAAGTGTAAAGATTTCAAGGTATATTAAGGCTATAAAATTATCACACTAATAGTAAAAAAACCCAAACCAAAGAACTTGGAAAGAAAAGTCTCCTGTCAGCTCCTTGCCATTTTCCTGAAATGAGACTTAAACATAATCCCTACAGGAGAAAACCCTGCTTAAATATGGAGCATTTGAGAACAGTCAGTAATGGGGAAAATCTGCAGCAGAGGCTGGAGTTCAGCTCACTGAGATGTATCAAAAAATATTAAGTAATTTCAAATGCTGAAATTGTTGTCAGCTATTAATTGAAATAAGGATTTTTTAAACAGATTGGATGCTACAGATGGACAGCCTTCATTTAAATTCCAAACCACATTCAAATTCAGACCAAACGAGGCAGGCTGTACTGGATTATTTTATCATGTACTACCCTTGTCAGAAAGAGTACCGAAGTTTAACTCAAACGGATTGTTAAAAATCTGTTTATGTTACATCTGAATGAAGTCCAAATAAAATCCTGAAGTTTAAACTACTGTAATAAAATACGTCGAAAGGAAGCCATGAATCACTGGTAAAACAGCTATTAAAAACTTGGTTTAACAAAGCAAATTAATTTTAAAATTAAATGCTCAAGACAGAAGAGAACCAGTCCTCTTTAAAGAAAAATGTTACCTGTAAAATAAAACAAAGTATTTCTGTGGTTTTATAACTAAACTTTTACATAAAGTTGCAGCCTGTTATTAACAGATTAGTTTTTAAACAAAACTCTACAGCCTTTACAAAGATTGTGCTGCTTTGTATTTTTATTTTTGTGGGATGAAGAGAACATTTGAAACATCAGAAATGTATCTTGCCCTCAACAGTAAGTTGCAAGTAAGACATTAGCAACAAATACTAGCTTTTAAAATACACAAGATACAGAGCAGCATACTACTGTTGGTTCCCTTTCACAACTTAGCTTGCAAGATACTAATTCTGGTGCTGTCAGGGTAGCCACAGGGTAACTCACTTGTTAAGTCTGATGCACAAAACCTAATCTTCAAGTTGTGCATAGCATATAGAAGTACTTGAGAACCTTAATCCCGGTAAAATTTCCTCTTTGTAACAGAAAACAGATTACATATAAGCCATACGTTCAAGTTTATGTGACGCTCACTTTGGAAAGAACAATTTTATCCTTCCAAATGGGATTCTTCACATATACATCAGCAACCGGTTGCCATCACCAGTCTGTGGGTAGCATTCCTCTTCACCAGGGATCTAGAGACAGAGCAGATGCACAGCAAAAAAACCTATTCTAGTAAGAAAACCTTACTACAATTGCTTGTCTTAAGCAGATCTGCTTTGAAGCTTGCCATATTAAGCAGCTGTAGAATTACTCCAGCCTGTATGTGTAAGAATTGCCTCAGACATTTGTTATGCAATATTAAGCATCTGATGGCCATAAGAAGACTTTCTGTTTTTACATATGATTTTTTACCTATTAAGAGAGCTTACACTGGAGATGTCCACTGTTTGAGCTCTTCTGACTGGTATAAGCAAAACTACTAGATAAATTCATGTGTAGATGGGTTTTAGAAAGCCAATACTTAAGAATGCTACTTGCTAAACTGCTGTGATAAATCAACTGACATTTTAGTCATGTTAAAGCCTACAGAACCAAAGCTAGCTCAGTCATGTACTGACAATCTTAGGACAAATGACACTGAAGTACTGTCACATCCTCAGTGGCAAAGATCTGTGATTACAAGTGGCAGAATTCAAGACTGAGGTTGCAGAGTAGCTGCAGATTTCTTCAAAGTCACTCAGTTTTTGTTCAAGGGCTTTAAGTATGTAAACTTAAGGTGTTACATGATCCACAACTGATTTTGCAGAGGAATAACAGTAAAGTAGGTGTATGTCAGTCATGGGATGTCAGTCATCGAGATACCATTCCAGCACTTCAGCTAGTTTAGCAGGTTTATATTCAGCTGTAAATGATGCTTCTTTTCCTGTGAAGGTATCTAGGAGTAGAGTTCGCCTCTACCAAGTCTAGCTTGGGTCACAGATTATTTTATTTGTAGCATGAACAGTGGTGGAACATGAAGGGCACGGCTGGAGATAAAGTGGCTGCCAAAGCCATAAACATGAGCATGACCCTTCACTTTTTTTAACCACAGTAGTAAGCTTCTACAGAAGAACAAGAACACCTGAACACCTAAACGCATTTCTGCAATGGAGTTCAAGTTACTGAAGTATTACACTGCAACTAATCTCAGTCTCTTATGCTGACTTTACTAAGAAACCACTTTTCATAGAGTAGCTCATTCCTATTCTGGTATGAGAAAGTTTTTCAAGTCAAAAGAAAAGTGACCTGCTCTAGCAAGTGCTACTGTACCTCCCAAGACTGAAGCACTCAGAATGTATAAACACACTGGACCTTGACCATGTCCAAAATTCATAAAAGAAAACAGTGACTCAACTGTGTAACACATTATAGACACTTTCATAAGATCAAGTACATTACCAAAGATAACTGGTAAACTATGCAAATCAAGTAGATTAATCAAGTAGATTCTGTCTTTGAGGGTAATAAATATCCAGTTTGTAAGCTCTTTTGTTGAGATCCTCGACCAGAAGGTTTATGTGCTGAGGACTGAGGCTTAAATGAGCTCTCAGTACTGCTTTCAAGTTTGCAACAAACAGCATTTAAGCAACCTCAAAATCAAGGTGCCAATATCCAGCTTGCACAGCACAATTTCTGTTGTTTCTTTTCCCCAGCATAAGATGTGATCAAGATGTAGACTGAATTCAAAACTCAAGTAGTGGTAACATGTGCAAGAAGACATTTTCAAGGGAAAGCTACACAACAGTCCTTGTATATTCTACCCCTTCCTCTATTATCATAAGCACAGTACATTATGTACAGCAATGTGCACAGAGGCCATTCACTTAACTTCAGCACACGGCAGAGCCATTATGCTACCGTTTTGTAACTAAGATTGTTAGTAGTATGGGAATCTAGAAAGTGTTTAAGCTTGGATTATTCAGTTTGTATGAAAAAGACCATACAATTCTCATGGTACAACAATAAGATGGACTAGTATGCCAACTAACCTCTATTTTAATATTTAAATTATAACAATACAATAACTAGAAAAGGTCAGTGCTTAAAGTGACGTGTTGCCACTTCAATTCCAATATTTTTCCAAAATAAAGATGCAATTAGATCTACACTTGAGCATCAGTAGTGCAATACAGTATCCTTTCCTGAATAAAGGAGCTGAGGTTTTATCCACAATAAAAGCTTTAAATAAGGTAGATTGTTGCCATTTATATATCAATTCTGTATGTTTGATATAAAATATATTGGGGAAAGCTTAAACTGACTTACACAATCTACATTTGGCTAAAGCTCCACATAAGCAGCATCAGTGGAAATGAACATCTGAAGTGTACTTAATATAAAACACTTTCAAAACTACTCAGCAACAAATGACAGAAGGTTGGCTAAGAATAAATGAACATCTGAGGTGTGTACCAGACAAAAAGAATGGACCCTGTGGTTACTTGTACTATTTTAATTAAGTAAAAGAAATGCTAGATTTAGTCCACTTCCATTTCTCCAGGTGGTTTGGTCTGCTGAGAACTGTCCTTTGCTGGTTCAGGTTTTGTTTCGGCACCGCTCTGTCCATTCACTGGTCCATTGTGTTCACCATTGGCCTTTGACTGCCCATCATTGGGAGGTTCTATCTTCGGTTTGGGTTTGTATATAATGGGATTACAGAAGCTATCCAATTCCTAGTTGTAACAGAAGAGAGCAAGTTCACTTGGTGGCACAGTAATTGCATTATACTAGAATGTCTCAAATTTGTTTCAGCTTCATAGTGATCTGGAATTTAATTTTCAAGGACTAGACTTTTGAATTCCATCCAGTCTAGAAACTTAACATACAACCCTTCACTAGCTAAAGAGCTTCTGATCCCTTAAAAGCCTACATCGTAATCCATTTTCTAGCATGCCTAGTGCTTTGACTCAGGGTATTTTAAAAAGGGTTATTCAGAGGCACTGGTAAATCAAGAGTCAAAATTCAACACTTATAAAACTACTGCTCCCCCTGTCTGGATCTTTTAACACCTTTAAAAGCTCTGCCAGTGTCATATTCTAGCTGAAGACAGAGGCCAAAATCTTCTAAAAAAATCCCTTGTTAGAAAGCAACCCACACAATGATGCATTTCTTTTTACCTTAGATTTTGTCAGTATTTCTGCCACTTTGACAACTGGATCCTGAGTTAGACTTAGTTTGTTCTGGGCATTCATTTTGCTGTTCAACCAATTCATAGCTTCGTTAATGTATTTTTCAACTTTCTCCATCTCAGCAGGATCTAGGTGATCATATTTTTCATCCTAAGGAGAAAGGTATTTATATAATAACATAATATATGCTTCTCAATTAAGAATTTCATGGACACACAATAAAATAGGTATCGTTGCTGCAACCCAATAGAAGTAAGTTTTTAACAAGTGTTTAGTATAAAGAACGACTGCAGAAAAAGACATGACTTTTAGACATTTGAAATTTAAATCAGGGTACATAGGGTAGTAATGACTGTGCAAGAAAAAATGCATCCAAGATTTGCTGTAGTTTGTTGAACTAATCACAATAAGTAGTCTTGGAAAATTACAGAAACAATGGTAAACAGCCATGAATTGAGACATCCATTTCACGTGGTACAAGTTACCATAAAAATATGACTATGTTTAATTTGTGTTCTCGTGAAGAAACCATTTTTCTAACAATCCAGAATATTTTTAGAAGTTCTCAGAGGCTGAAGCACAACCGCCATTTTAAAGCAGCTTAACAGGTAATCCTATAGGATTTCTTTTTTAAACACAAAAATTCTACAGCCAAAATCAGAGCACCCGTAATAGTTCATTCCCTAAATAATTTGCTTCTACCTTATTTTTGTATGCTTCTACTGCTTTCATAAGGAGCTGAATCTTCTTTCCCAGTTCATTTAAAACTTTTGGTCTCTCTTCATGTTCCATGTATCTTTCCTGAATTGGCTGTCCAAATTTCTGAAAACAAGCACAAAGATCTTAACAAAATACAAGTTGACTTTAGTCTGGTCCAAGAATAAAATGTAGCAAGGGAAGGAAGCCTGCCTTTAACTTCTCACCCATTCAAAAGTTTAGTGCGTGCCCTTTGCTTTAGTGCAACCAAATAATTTTTTGTCATTACTAATCCATGTGGAAGCTATTATCTTTAAAAATTAGACAAAAAATTCAGTTTTATGATACAGCTATAGAAAACCACTGAAAACAGGAAAACCAGAGCATCTATTTGGAGTGTAATTCTGAACCCCTGGGAAGGCACTAACTACTCAAAAGCTGCTTTCAGACTGTAATAAGACTGACAGAAAATTCCCATAGCAATTACTTTTATAGTCATTAGCAACAGTCTGCTTAATTTTTACTGTTTTCAAATTAGGAGCACACTGACATTATAACAAACTATATTTCTATCTCTAAACATTATGTACATTGCATAACTAAACAACATCCAGATACAATCTGAACATCCATTCTTAAAAGTTAATGATTTACAAAACTCATACATAGCTATGCACACACAAATCCCTCATTAAGAGCTTGGCTTACTTAGCCATAAATATTTATATAAATGCCCCCACTGCCAAACACACCATTTTTCAAGAAAGTAACTTAAAACCTTACTCTTAATTCCTGAAGCTTATCCATGTATACTTGCTTTGGCTGGTCCTCTCCATCCTCATAAAGCCAGTTTTCTGTGTCCTCTAACATCAAGGTCAGCTTGTTTGAATCCTATAAAGCAAGTTTGAGATACTCTATCTCAGAAGGGAAAAAGACAAAGGAGACTTCACTCCCTCCAGCATAAAAAGAAACCCCCCTACTCAAAAGAGAGACTGTTTCATCAATTCAAAATATTCAACATATGATTGTGAAGGAGAATGGTAATCAACAGACTTCAAAGCCAAGATTTTACAGAATGGTAAAGGAGGCAGGACAGTCCTACTAATGAGACTTGCAGTTGAAGTTTCTGAGAGCTACACAGCTTCAAGATTGATTTTGTAAGAAAGCACATGCATCTCAACATTCTTGCATAGTATATTTACATGGCAAGTTCTGTTTCTCACATTCTCCGATAGCAGCACGGAAGAAAAAAATTTGGACAACTATACATATAGTTTAAGTTAGAATTGTTTTAATTGGACTCTACTGGTTATAAACAGCCACATATTAGCTTGCCACTGAGAAACTTCTCAGACAATAAATAATCCTGCATATCAGCGTGTCAAGTATCAGGTGTAAGTGTCACCTGAACTTCACAGATGTGAAGTTAATTCACATTTCATACTCCAAAACAAGTCAAAAAGACTCCTGCAGCCTCCATATAACCCACACTCACAACATTTTAATACAGGGGAATTTTTTCCAGCAGCTGAAACACATAAGCAACTTACTTCTTCAGTGATGAATTTCTCAAAGACTCCACACAGTTTGTCTCTGAAATCATACACATACTCTTCAACAGCATTCTTAGCATCATTTCTTTCCTTCTCAAGCTTGTCTTGCATCATCATCTTCCCCTAGGGTGGAGAAAAGCTTATTTAAATCTAAAAGCTTTCAAGTGTCAAGATTTATGATTACTCTCTTGGTTCTGTACCAAAAAACTTGGCAGAAGCCTGCCAATTCACAATTACTGATTTAACTTTTCACCTTTGGGTAAATCATCTCTACTGCAGGCAGAACTGGAATGGGAGAAAAATTAGTTCACATTTAGAAGTTGTTTGGCAAGTGCTTCAACATCAATAGATCAGATATCAATTATCTGACCACCAGAGACAGGTCTAGAAGTAAAGGGTCCTGGTGGACAGGAGGATGACCATGAGCCAGCAATGGGATCCCAGGCATCCCTGGGGAGATGCTGTTCTGGGGTTAACTTTTCACCTTTGGGTAAATCATCTCTACTGCAGGCAGAACTGGAGTATTGTGTCCAGTTCTGGGCCCCTCAGTTCCAAAAGGACAGGGAACTGCTTGAAAGAGTCCAGCGCAGAGCTACAAAGATGATGAAGGGAGTGGAACTTCTCCCTTACAAGGAAAGGCTGAGGGAGCTGGGTCTCTTTAGCTTGGAGAAGAGGACATTAAGGTGCTACCTCATCAATGTTTACAAATATGTAAAGGGCGAGTGCCAGGGTGATGGAGTTAAGCCTTTTTCAGTGATGACCAGTGATAGGACAAGGGGCAATGGATGCAAACTGGAGCATAGGGGGTTCCATATGAATATCAGGAAGAACATCTTTACTGTGAGAGTGACAGAGCACTGGAACAGGCTGCCCAGAGGTTGTGGAGTCTCCTTGGCTGGAGACATTCAAAACCCGCCCGGACACGTTCCTGTGTAATGTGCTCTAGGTGATCCTGCTCTGGCAGGGGGGTTGGACTAGATGATCTTTCAAGGTCCCTTCCATCCCCTAAGATTCTGTGGTAATGGTTTCAAACTGGAAGAGGGGAGATTTGTATTACATATTGGGAAGAAATTTATTATTGTGAGAGGGGTTAGACACTGGTACAGGTTGCCCAGGAAGTTGTGGATGGCCCCTCCCTGAAGTGTTCCAGGCCAGGTTGGATGGGACTTGGAGCAACCTGGTCTAGTAGGAGGTGTCTCTGCCTATGCAGGGGTGTCGGAACTAAACGATCCTTTCCAACCCAAACCATTCTGTGACCCGCGTACTCAAGTCTCGTGAAATGGATTAGTTTCTCAAAGAAACCTAATCAAAACAAAACGCCTTATGATTAAGGACAAGCCTCTAAGGAATTCTCAATTAGATAATAAGTTTATGGTTGCAAGTACTTCCTGGATAATTATTTCTAGTGACATTAATTTGTTTATGCTGCTTACCTCATTTTCTATATAGGAATTGATAAGATCTTGTCCCAGTTGTCTATAGAGGCTTGCCTGTATAGGTAGGTCAATACTCTTAACTTTTGCTTTAGCCTTCGGCTGGGCTGGATGATCTTGCTTGTCTCCAGAAGCAGTCTATAAAAAGATTTACGCTATTAATAAACTTGCAGGAATAGGAATATTACTACATATACACTCAAAAAAGAGCGACAAATTAAACTGGAATGACAGCTACAAATGAATTACATGTAAATGAAGAACCTAATATCTCCTCTGCTATTCAAAACCACTACCTTAGTTTTGAGCCAGACCGGTAGAATTCAATTTCTTTAAACATCACATGAAGAACTGCTGAAAAAATCTGTTTAAAATCCCATTCTTCTTCACAATGTTTGTTATGTTCCCCTAGATTCCATCTTCACTTTGAAACTATGTTAACAGAAACTTACGTCAAAGTCTTATGTTCAAAATCAACGTGCTAATGTAGGATTCCAAACTGAACTGTTTCAAGACAGCTGTACTCCTCTAAACACAGTCCCATATTTACAACTAGTAAGTCCCATATTACAACTGGTAAGATAAATTACTTCCAGAATACTGGGGAAAAAAAGTCTAAGGGAAACAACATTACATTTCCTCATCAGTACTGAATACCAACTTTTGTTTCAGTTCCTGCATTTTCAGTTTCCTCATCTGCTTGATTCTGTTGTTCAGCTTGACTCTTCTGAATACCTTCATCTTGATCAACCTGCATTTTATCCTAGAAAAAGAGTTACAAAGCTGAATGCGAACACTTGCTATACAAACTGACATCAATTTCAATATATGACAGAAAGGCTTCAGAATCCAACTTAGAAATTTTTGATTTGCCATATTTAAACAGGCATTTTGATATATATAGTACTTGTATCCATATCTTTCTCAAAATAAATTCTATTCAGCATGTCTCCCTTGAAATAATTCTGTTGCTGTCTGCCCCCTGTTAAAGAATTACACTAAGCCCTGTGAATATTCCTTTCATTCTAAGTTAGAAATAGATACATATAAAATGTATGCAAATAACATTCTAGAAACACATCACCAACACAGGCAGTAACTATAGGTTCTCTATGGAACAGCCAGAACTTCAACCTTGTTTTTCACCTAAACTTTTAATGTTTGTAATCCAAAGCAGAAACAACTAAGCAACTGCAATTGTTATCTGTATCCTTCTCATAGGACCATACATTTTTTTTTTTTTTAGTAGCCTCTTGGAGCACATGACCTACTGTCTTCCCTCCCTGCCACCCAAAATTAAGAATGTGTAACTTATTTATAGTTCACCTATGCCTTATTCCAAATTTAAGGACATGGATGAAATCACTAATTAGTGGTGCTGATCACTTGATTTAGCTTAAGTAATACAATTCTCTGCCATTGCTGCAGGAATCTTTTAGTAACATAGTGATGGCTAAGTCAAAAGTTTTCAGGATGACTCCAATACTGGTACATCTAGAGCATCAATAAATAATGAGCTGTGTCTGAAGTCTGAAGTTCTAAGATTATTTCCATGATAAGGAACTAAGATTCCTAGAATCACTAAATTCCTGGGTATGCATATAAAATAATTCACTGTTAGTTATGCAAAACACAAGAAAATTTTACCTAGATTTCCAATTCTAACACAGGTGCACATATTGAAGTTTTGGTATGTTGAGGCAGCAAGGTTTTAATGATATAAGCTAGAAACAAGAAGGCTACTTTTACTGAATTTAGGTTTTGTCACTTCACAGTAGGAAAAAAAATAATCCTTAATTACTGTTCTTACTGTTCACACAGAAAATGCAACTGGAAGCAACTCTTTTACCTACACAGAAAAGCTAGAGGAGCAAAATAATACATATATGCACCACAAACCTCTGCCTTCTCCTCAGAGTCGAGGGGACCATCCTCAATAACGAAAGGGGATTGCTGACAAGCACCATTGTAAAACAGAACACTTGTTAGATGAATGGAAGTACTACAAAGTGAAAGCCTGAGGATGGAGGTGGTTACTCTTGAATTGAACACAGCTTATTACTCATCTTTGTAACCTCCACCTGCAGCATTACACTAAATGCCAGCTATATCACTTTCAACCCTTGTTCACTTGCATAAGATGCAGAGTGTTTGTCCACAAGGAACTGCATCATGTTTGACATGTCAAATATGCTCAAGTTCCTGCAAAGCAGTAGGATATTTAATAAGTAGCTTTTATCCATTATGCAACACTAAATGTGTAACCAGTTGCTCTAATTCCTGTGCTACATTCAAGTAAAGTGGGAAAAAGTATCATGGACTATATTTAAAACAACAGGAAATGCATTCATCCCTTCATCTACACAGAACTGCCAAGTGTTTGCCCAGCCTCACTTCCTAAGGAAAACCTCCTTCATGATGCCTGACAGTCTGAGATTGGTTGCACTGCTGAGCACTTTACAGCCTCAGAAAGACAGCAGGAGTGTGAAGCAGCTGCTTGATCATTTCTTTATCCTCTTCTTCTCTACACAATCATCTCTCCCCTGTGAGCTGTGAAATACAATCCCAAGCTACAAAAGGGCAAAAGCAAAACCGAAAGGCTGCTGAAACCACTGCTAATGTGCCCTTCCCAGCTGGAAAGCATGCCCCGGCACCCAGTCCTCAAATCTGCAGTACCCAATATAATAGCACCTCACTACTCTGTGATTGACTCTCAGTACCACTGCACTATCAGGAATCTCGATCCTACTTGCACTTCAATGAGAGAAAATTCTGTAATTTTCTCCTTACAAGGGGGCTTACAAGATAGTTTCTAAGAACTACTAACACTGAGTACACAAACTAGTTGATGAAAATGTAGTTCAGGAAAAACAAACTTTTGTAATTAACCTGTCATTAGATCTCTTTAAATACATTGCCTTTTGATAGCAACACTAGATAATGTGAAGACTAGTGGAGAAATTGTAAAGAACAATGAAAAAATTAAAACTTTCTTTAGGGTCTGGTTTTAGAACTATTTTTTTTCCTCTCAGTGGCACCATAATAAAGATGAAGAAATGCGTTACATAACTGGAGCAATAATTTCAGTGTGGACAAGTAGTAATTGTCTAAAGGTATACATGATGATTTCATCTCTAATTATTGACTCTCGTCAGAATTACAAGGAGTGTAGATATTTACAAGTTTACATACCAGCTCATCATCTCTGCCTTGGTTTTTAATTGATGATTCAGTGTCCATGGGTGGGTCATTATGATCGCCCTCTATGTTCTGCTTCTCTATGATAGAGGCATTAGCCACACTGAAAAGGCCGTGAATATTGACACGCACTTTAACCTTCACTTTGGAATTGTCACCATCGTGTTGGGGACCAACATTTTGAATAGTGAAACGCCCTTGAAAAAAACCACAAAGACTTTTAATTGTTGCTACAGAAATAGTAAAAGAGGGAAAAAAAAAAAGAAATTAAGTACATTCCTTGAAGGGTGTTAATTTAAATAGCAACTTAATGTAACTTAAATAAAAAGTCAAGGTTAGGCATTGCAATCTGTTGCCGCCTAGGGAAATGACCTTGATTCATTACAAACAGTTTCTACCGTCCATGTAACTCAAACTTTGCACTGAAATATAAAATATTAACAGAGCGAAGAGACTTGATCTGAATTTGGTAATGCATATGCACTACACATTTTTGAGAATGAACAGTGCTTATCAAGACTTCTGGAAGCAGTAAGGTTGATACTGTATTTTGCAACTTACTGCAAATTTGAGTGCAAATGATGCAGACTGTGCACATGTAAAGGAGAATGTTAAAGATGACAGAATTCTTGCATACATAGCTAAACAGAAAGCACCAGGTTTGTATCTGATACATAAATCAGTAAATAAAATTGTGACTTAAGGGCCATGAAGAGTCTACTAATAACAGCAAGATAGAATTAGCTACTGGAAACTTATTCATACCATCTAATACTTTAGACTCTACTACAGATGTTTAAGTTCAGGAAATGCCCATCTTCTATGTTCTCAAATTAACAGAAAGAGGTATGACAGATGCCTGTCTGGCCAGGTAACTATCTAATGCTGACAACTGGTTTGAGCCAGTTTCTTTGAAAAAAATCCAGGCTAGCAGGCACATAATATTCTTACCCATTTTATAGAGTTCAAAGAACCAGACAATAGAGCACTATGCTCTTTGTACTTACTAGTTTTAAAGCATTCAGAACAGTGAAGACAATTAGAAATAATGTATTTTTTTTAGGAACTGCCAAAAGATGATGTCGATACCATTTGATCACTGCATCTCAACCAAGACAACTTGTGCTAAACCCTTCTAAAGAAACTAGGCTTTTCTATAACCTAGGAAATACGCAAGCAGCATATCTTGAAAAAAGGAGAAATACTTGTCAGCAGGAGTTGGCTATGTGGGTTTTATTCATATGCCCTTACCTATTCTGGAGTCAGGATAAGGCACTTCATGTGGATGGGTGTAGAAAGCTTCCAGGTCAAAAGGCTCTTTCTTGTGGAAAGTAATTACTTTTGAGAATGGAGCAGAATGGTTCTTACTGAAGACTTCACACTCCCTAAAGCAGTAAAATATTAAGTAAGGTTAAACCACTGGGCATCACACAATGGATAATCAAAAATCAAGGGATGTTAATGATCAGCAGCTGTGCTAACCAAGTACAATTATTTAGTTTCAGTTTATGTCAAGAGTTACAGGTTGAAGGCCTGTAGATCTTGAAGATGGACTACGCATTCTGTATTACACTTCTCAAAAACTGAGCAACTTCACACTAACATTTTAAAATTAAAATTACTAACAGCAAACAAAAATCCAGAGGTATAATGCAAACAAAATTTAAACTGTTTGAGTTGACAACAGCTTCAAAGTCTGAGGCCTGGTCTTTCACACAGCCCAACATTTTTCTTTATATATAACCAACACACACTTCTTAGTAGGCACCATATAACATACCCTGTTCCTTCCTCGTAAGATGATTTCCATCTTAACGTTATAGAATAAGGAACAACATCTGTGATGGAAAATTCACGCACTTTAAAAGCTGGGGAAAGAATTGCACACTAGAAAACAAAGACCAAAATTGTATTAAATCCATGTAGTCAAAGAAACAGCAAGTACAATACTTAATACCCAAATGCAAAAAGGCTACAATTCATATAGGTCACATGGAGGTCCTGGTGATCACACAACTCTTATCAGAAGCTTTCTATGCTTAGTAGAAAGTTAGTTGAACTTGAAGACAACTAAAGTAACAGTAACAGATGCTACTTCCCCACTGACTGTCAGTAAAGATATCCAGTCAGGCTTCCAAATCACTACACAAGAAATGGAACACTGCAATTTGGGTCATCAAATTTAACAGGTCTGTAACAAAACCATCCTTCTAACATGACACTACAGCCAATTTGCACATATAAACCAATTTCTTAAGGGTCACTGTCAAGTACTGTTGAATGAACAAAACTCTATGTCTTGTTTCAGCTGTGACACCTTTTGCTTTTTGTTAGTTGCATTTCATTAGTACACGAGCAAAGAAGCAATACTGAAGTTTCATTTATACCTGCAAGGCACAGCCTCTTGCAACAGCTTCATCAGCATTTAGTGTGGTGCTTATCTCTTTACAGAAAAAGCTAGAGATCTGTTCCTTTACTGCTGGAATTCTAGTAGCCCCACCTACTATTTCTATACTGTAGATATCTTCACGTTGAAGTTCTAGAAAAAAAGAGTACAAGGCCTTTAGTCATCAAGATACAAAAAAGCTGTCTTTGAACAATCAAAAAAAAAAAAGAGAATTCTCTTATTATTTAGACACTGTGACGAGCTCTGAATATATTCAATGGCTGACAAGATGTTTACAACCAGGTATGTCCTATATCCTATTCACATTAATTGTCCCTCCTCCAGGCTACCACTTTTTAAGTGCATAATCCTGGAAAACACAGCATTTATGAGGACAGCTGTTCTTTGAAAATGCATTGCCCATGTGCATCCCTTTTTTGGTATGCACAAACTCAAGTGTGTGTAATTAACTGGGTTTTGTTTGGCAGCTCTGCACTACTGGACAATACCTCACCCCTCCCAAACAAGAACAAAATTCAACTCCAAATCTGCCTCAGTTTATATTTGGTTTTGTTTCTCAATAAAGAAAAGCAAAACACTTAAAAAAAACAACTAAGAAATATGAGACTGTGCTTGCAGGGTAACTTCCTAATTCTGAATTCAAGATGCATGTATAAAGTGATCTCAAACACCTGTCAGTCCTTGAACAGCTCTGCTCAGCAGTTACTCAGGTTCTTACTTCCTCTATTACTTATCTAGCCAAGATAAGCAGAATCCTTCCCTTTCTTTTAGTTGAAGATGTTGCAATTAGGTGTAAAACATTTTCCTGTGAAAGTCTAATCTCTCCTTTCTACTACATTAGGCAAAAAAACAAAACAAAAAATTGTCATTTGCACATGCTTCAGATAATTTGGATAATTATTTTCAGGAATATACTGCCAAATTCTCAGGTCAGTGAGGACATGTATGTATTGCATATGGAACAGGCTGGCCAGACAGTTGCAGTAAAGAGAAGCTTTTCCCCATTATGGTTCTGATTTGATTGTTTTGTGGTTTTATATAAAATAATCTTTCAGAGCCAACCTTTTCCATTACATGGGGTGAATGAGGGTCAATAAACCAAGGTTGCAGAGTGATTATGTGCACTAAATGAGCCAGGAAAGGGATCATGCATACATGACAAGCATATGAATGGAACTTACATTTAACTTTTCAGTACTTATCTTTGCAATTCTAATAAATACAAAAATATATTAAAAAGATAATCATTAAAGAGATCCAGGGTAACTGGCTTACTAGTTACTGTTTTGAACCAAAATCAGCACCTAAATTAACTCTTACTTACTAGCTTGATCCATGGCTGCTCTTAGAGGAGGTTCCACTCTGGACAGAAGGGCAGCACACAACTGCTCAAACTGACTTCTGCAGGAATAAGAAAGCATTTCACATTACAAGACAGCTTGGAGACCACGCTGCACTGTGCAACGCAAGTGAAAATAATGCTTAGTACCTGTTCATTTTACTGGAGACATCAAGGTCATTCATGAAGCACTCAATATTGAGTGGGAGGTCAGAAGCATTTGCACTCATAAGCTTCTTCAGTTTTTCACATTCCTGATACAATCGTAGCACTGCTCGGGGATTCTCTTTTACATTCAGTCTGTATTTTGTCCTAAATTCTTCAGAGAAGTAGTCTACCAAAGCCTCATCAAAATTCCTGCCACCTAGGTAAGGGTCAAAGGTAGTAGCCAAGACCTGCACAGAAATGAAAGAACTAAGATTAGACATTGTTAGACAATGTTTGTTTAGATGCAGGGATAGTTTTTATACAGACACTATTTTGTAAGTGTTTACAACAGTTAATAACAGGTCTGATATGGGCAAATGTCTTTGTTGTTTTCTCACCTTCTATGCAGTTGGTAGATAGAACAACTTAAGATCACTCCTGTATTACTTAGTTTCTGCCCTCCCCAAATAAAATACAGTCACATCTACTGTGCTATTTTCTATCACACTGAAACCCCTACTCAGGTTACTAGCTCACTGAAGACAGACTAGGATAGCTATTTTGTCATGTTCCTACCAGTTTAGTATCATTCATTCAGAACAGAAAAGCTCACTATCATCTTCCATGATTTCAGATAAACTATATTTTGCTACCCAAGAAAAGTTTGCAAAAACATTCAGCCAAGAGTAACTCAGACAAAAATCTCCACACCAGGAAGTGAAGGCTGTCGTTTTACTTCATATCCTGTTGTATTTAGATTTTCAAACATCATGGGTGACAGAAAAAATAAATCATCACAGAGAAATTCAGAGAGTTCAATGATTTCCCATTGATAAGTCAGCTACACAATGCTTATGAAATGCAAATATTTCAGTGACACAACATGGCACAAAAAACTACAGAGTATGCTTAACAGTCAAGCACTTTTCAAAGCACTTTAGGATACTTCATTTCTGCATTTTATAAAGAGCGATTTGCTGAAATTACAAAGAAGTTTTTTTCTTCTTCACTCAGCATTTAAATATTATTTGTTGTAGAGATTTATTTCATTAACAATCTTTCCACAGAATGGTATTTTGATAATTACTCAATTACATACTTCAGGAATATCGGATTTTACTTTATGACTTAGAAAATTACCTTCAGTTTTCCCTTGTTAAATGCACAGATTGAAACCTGATACGCAGAATGCCCCATATCTACAAAGACCACATTTCTTGGCTTCTCTTCCAAGGCTGGCAGATCTTGCTTGTATATTCCATAGGCTAGGGCAACTGAAAAACATCAACCCACAGATGTGAAGGAAAAGCTGTAGAGAGCTGTTAAGCATGCATTAAAAGCACTACCAAAAGACAGACACTACTTTTGTTTACTCTTTCTAAATACCTTCATTACTCTGCTCAAACAGAACATAAGGGTCAAAAGGGTCTTGAGTTTTAGACCACTGAGTTACCACTTTTTTTTTTCTTACTGTTTGATTTATAGTTATACTAGCAAATTACCTCATTTTCATTCATACATTTAAGTGGTCTCTATAACCTAACATCTCAACAACAAATGCATGCTGTGCAACATCAAACCACTAACTGAAGTCAGCAGCATGTGCACCATAATAAATTTAAATGTTTAGATCCAGAATTTATTAGATTGCTTATTTTTGCTTCTGTTTAAGAATTACTGTTCATACGTAAAGCAACTCTTCACAGAAGAAGTCAACATGTTGAAAATACATTTTTCACTGTCCAGGGAGTAAATATATGTCAAATGACGGTTTAACACTACTGAAGCATCACTTTGGCATTTCAGTTCTGCTTGTAGCCAAATTAACATTGCAATTTGTGAAACTGCACATAGTAAGTTCTCATGCCTACCTCTCCTTTGGAATGCCCTACTTTCAGCACTTTTTTTATAGCTCAGCTCTGCAAAATTCAAGCATGCTCAAGAGATTTCAAAAAATGTTTTCAAAGACTAGCTTATTCAATCAGATTTCAGTACCAGTGCTAATTTGGAAAATTGTTTGAGACTGGCTAAAAATCAAAGAAAACTTAAATAAAGACACAATAATCAGTGGTTTAAACAACTCCACCTTTAGTCCCCATTAAGTGTAACATTTCTATATTCTAGCCTAGGATTCAACAAAACCAGAAGAGGGCATTAAATTACATTCTAGAAACACCAGTTGTGCCAATGCACAATTTTCAACTGTCATTATACCACAGACTTATACTTGACTTGATTTGGCTATTTTTAAGTCATACAGTTGAAGTTACTCCTAAATATGATCAGCAGATGCAGGTTGTATCTGAAAATACTGTACTATGCTATTATTTAATACAACAATTGAGAATTTAGGTCAGGTGCACACCCCAGCTGGATCATTCAAAGCTTCTGAAGCTAGCTCAGGCCTTCCTGATACAGCTGCTATAGATCTATGGTAGAGCAGAGAGGCAAGAACAAATACCAGCTTTATTTGAAAAGCAGAGAAGCTACTTTCAAGTGGCACTGTATTCAAGTTAGCAAACCCCAACGCTAACCATGTCTCTTAAGTGCTGAACACCATCTCCCTGAAACAATTGCTGAGCTTCCAGTCCCCAAGATAGATTAGGCAGTACTAGCCTGGATCGCTTTTTCTCCAAGCTCCAAATTGTGTAACAGGAGCACATCATCACCTTCACAGATTGAACAGCCAGAACGGGTAAGGAAAAAAAGCAAGCAAGAATTGCTGCCCTTTACCTGCTGTAGTTTCATTCATCAGCTTCAGACAATTTAATCCTGCAATCTGTGCAGCCGCCATTACAGATCTTCGCTCAGCATCAGTGAAGAAACTAGGTACCTGTTTCAGAAAAATAATTATGTAGGATATGATGACTTTTCAATTTCAAAAAGCAACCATATGAATTTCAATACCACAAGAAACTGTTACAAGGTAACCTCAGATTAATAAGGCCGTCTGAATAAAAAATTGTAGTGCATATTTTAATTAAGTATGTGCCATCACCAAAAAAAAATACTGAAAATGTTTTCTCAGATTCTTCTGAGTCTTTGACCTTAAAAATCCTCATTTATGTGAAGTATTCTTCGTGTCTTCATGAATCATAAGGAAGCAAGGAAAAGGATCAGGGTAGATCTCTATCAGCTCAAGTATAGAGCTTCCGAGCTACCATGTTTATCTGACAGAGAAGGGATAACCCCAATGCCCAAACTTTTCACCAGAGAAGAAGTCAAGCAGTAAACAAAAACAATGCGAAAAGCAAACATTCACGACTTCCTACTAGGAGCAAAACCTTGTTTTCAATGTCAAACCTCTACTCTCCTGCCACGGGTGAAGACAGACAGGTAGTTTAGGCTTCTCAAATTGCCAGTATGACCCTCAGACTCACAGAAATTCAGGCAAATCTCAACTACACTACAAACCAATGGTGTTCAACTACGTAATGATGAAGAAATGTAACGTGAATTTGGGAAGGTTCTTTGGAACTGAGGAAGATGTGCTTACACATAGGACAGTTCCTGTTTCTAACAGAAACTACAGTGATCAGGATTATTTACAGAGTACTTGGAGTTAACCTATCTGGATCAGCTTAAATAGTATGTTCCTTCTGAAAACACACTCTTGATTTATCAGCTTTTCCATCTTCTCACATATTATTACCAAAGTTTGCAATAAAGGCCAATTTTTTTAAAGAGATACGATTTCTATCCACTACTTCTATCTCTTCCCATTACAGCGTGGCATAAATGGTACTAGCTTACATAAAGTTACCTATAGAAAGAATATCAATAAATACAACTTACTGAAATCACACAGTCTGCCACTGGTTTCTTCAAAGCGCTTTCTGAAGTCTCTTTAAGTTTGGCCAACAACATTCCTGTAATCTGTTCAATTGCAAACAGTCTCTCTTCATCTAGGTATCTCACCTGAAACAGAATTGCAGTTCCGTAATACATCACCTCAACTTTTCTCTAAGATGTGCAACTTAGACATTTTTTTGCAATTTTGATCAGTAAGACCCAAGTTTTAACACCAGACTCTGGACACAGATAACTCTCCATGTCAACTGATGCTATACATTTATTTGTGCTACCTACAACAAATCCTAACAGTTCAGTTCACCCAAGAATTGTTTTGTGGGAAACCTTAACACCTGTGTTATCTTTTGACACTTGTAGATATCTTCTCAAGAGGAGAAGGCTGAGGGGAGACCTTATTAATGCTTCTAAGTATCTAAAGGGTGTGTGCAAGGAGGATGGAGCCAGACTCCTTTGAGTAGTTCTCAGTGACAGGATGAGGGGCAAGGGGAACAAGCTGGAACATACAAAGTTCCTGTTAAATATGAGAAAAAACTTCTTTACTATGAGGGTGACAGAGCACTGGAACAGGCTGCCCAGGGAGGTTGAGGAGTTCCCTTCTCTGGAGATATTCAAGACCACCTGGATGCAGTCCTGCTTGATGTGCTCTAGGTGATCCTGCTTTATTTAGCAGGGGAGTTGGACTAGATGATCTCTAGGGGTCCCTTCCAACTCTAACAATTCTGTGCTCTCAAGGGGCAATTTACAATGCTACAGCACTTCTGCTTGATGGGGAGTTTTAATTTAAAAAAGTAAATACAAAATGCACAATGAGCTAACATGAGCTAAAACAAAGACTTCTGGAGCAAATCCAAGGAACATTTGCTTTCTGCAAGGGTCACTCAAGCACGTGAAGTGGGGAAGGGGCAAGTGAGGCATTTCTAACTCCTGCCTTTCTCAGGAAACATGTGAACATCAGCGTTCATGTGAGGTTCCTTGTCCTGAATTCCAGACAAGCCGCAATCCTAGTCTTCTGCAAGGAAAACCTGGCAGATGAGCAGTAGTTATATTTACAAGGGCAATTAGTATGATACAAGCAAGTACACAGAACTCAGGAATTTTGTGCAGTATAAAGCCCCACCAGAAAGCAATTCTAAGCGCACTAAGAATAACTGGGAGATTTGCTTCAGAAGTACTCGCCTGATCCAAATTCCAATACTTTGAGAGAAGCAGTTTCTACCCATTTAGTTTAGAAGCAAATTAGAAGTATCTTGCTTGGGTTAACATCTTCAGACTGTTATTCCTGAAACTTGGTCTCTGCATGTCTGTAAGACCTAAACTCAGATGAGACTAACACACACTGTATTTATACACATCAGAAGGTAACTCTAGTAAGGTAAAGTGAAATGCTACTAGTCAGACTACAGAAAGCTAATACAATTGATGAGAAACCTCAATGGACATCCCAAAGAAAAGTGCAATACTTGAGTAGATGTTACGGAAGAGAACTAAATGTTCTTCATCTCTCAGGAACAGCATATTTATTACACAATTTTATTAAGGGTGAATGAAACAAACTTAATCTTTCTTGGGGTGAGAGCTATTAACATGTTATAGCATACATGTATGGGAGACAATGCACTACCTTCTTCATGCTACTTGATCATTAGAAGACATGAGTATGTAATACAGAGCAAGTATACTCTAGATCTTCCTGAACATTTAAAGACGTGAATGAACTGTTAAGGACAAATGAGAAACACAGCAAAACTACACAAAGGCAAGCTCTGTGAAAAATAAGAGGTGTTATCGTACTGGTTATCACCTAACATTTATTTTCCAAATGAGTGTGAATATATTTAGCATTTTTTTTTAAGGAAAATATAAGTTCTAGGAAGAATTTCACTGATAGAGGCCCAGAGTGCTCATCTTTAACACTAAAGATACTCTGCACAAAGTTCTAACTCACCTTCACTCCTACGGAACCATTTGGCATCTTCTGAAGTTCATAGGGAAGCTTGGCCCTTTCAGATTGTATGTAAGCATCTTCAAATGCTCTTCCATGAAGTTTTTTAAAACCATGTAATGTATTTTTTACATTTGTGACAATCTGTGGAAAAGATACTTTTAATTACCATGACATGCAGACTATAGAAGACTATACAGAAGTAAACTCTTAACGGCTTAATGCACATACTGAAGACTTGTTTCAAGCCCCACACACTTACTGGAAAGCCAAAGGTGGGAGGAGAGAAAGAAGAATATTTTTTTTAATCTGCAGTCTCCATTAAACAATCTCAAATTTACTTCCCTCTTTAATAGCCAGTAGTTTGCTGCTATCAATTTTAACTACCCTTTTTTTCTATAGTAGCTCTCTGATATAGTATGCAATATTTGAGATTATATCATATTATTGCTACAGCTGTCTGCAGGAACAAATTAAGTTATTACCTACATTAACATTAAATGAAGCTTCAACAAATTAATGTATTTCACTTCCTTTCTAAGTTCTCCTCTAATTCAGATTCCTCCTGGACATGAAGCCACCCCACATCTATTATCTCATCAGTGTTCCACCCTAATTACTTTAAATATAGACTTTTAAGAAAGGACTTGGAACAACCAAATCCCAACAAATGTGGTATTTAAGCTATGAAATTGCTCCAGGGTAATCCTCTCCTAGATGAACTAGTCTGATTTAATAGTCTAAATTGCAAACTTTATAGCTGGGAAGAGTACTGACAGGATGCCTTCTCACCACCAGAATTCAGGGGTTGCACTCACGATAAAAAGTCTAAAGTTTCTCAGACTGAAAGTGATACAGCCCCTGCATACAATGACTGCTCATAGTACAACTGGCAGGCTTGATTACCTTTATCTTCACCAAGCAAATTTCCAGTTACCTACACCCTAGACCAAGGGGCAGGAAGTCCTCAGCACACCAACACAATGCATGGACCCAAAGAAAGCAGGCAAGACCAGATCTATTTTGTAGATTTGCACTGGCCATTATTAATTTTTACCTATTTTACTTCCTAAGGAAGGTTTTCTTAGATTCCAGGTGAACTTACAGAGCATTAGAGAAATTTTACTTCTGTTCAAAGTTCCAAATTGAGACAGTATATGACTATGATGCATTCATTTAATATTATGAGCAACCACCAGTTGCTTTCATTCCTTCATATTTTCTTAAACATACGCACAGTTTTCCGCACCACCCCCACTGGAGATTTCATGTACTCTCATCTTACTGTTATGAGTAAGGATGAAAAAAAATCTTTTACAGGGAAAGAAACAAAGTTTTGTTTCTTCACTTTTTTACTCTCAATGAAAGAACAATGTAGAAATAATGTTTCAATTTTAATACAGGAATAGAGTACTGAAGCAGTATTACTGCACAATGTACACTTATTGTAGAAAATTGACTTTGTAACAGAAAAATAGAGTATTAATTTCCTTCCCATAGTTCAACAGCAGACAAGTCAGGTAAGTTTGATCCATTTACCTGGCTCTTTGCCGCATTCCCAATGGCCCGGGTCTTGGATCCTAAAGATATACATGCTCTAAGTAAAAACAGAAAAAAGAAAACCAGCTTTAAATCATCATAAAGTATTTATACGGTATTTTAAAACACCCACAAAAACTGAAGTAGCACAACATGGATGCAGTACTTAACAGCATTATTGCATGAAACACCAGAACTTGCAGTGGAATTCTAGTTATTTTGTTCCTTGCACATTAGTCTAGAAACTGCAAGCAATGACAATTGTTCATCATAATTGCATTTAAGGAATTATTTAAAAGCTTTTGTTTTCTATAGATCTTATCATAAAGGTAGGGAATTAGGAGTTACTTTTGGATCACAGCTTATAACCAAAGAAGCCTGTGACATTTAATTTAAAAACCAGAACTTTACCAGTTTTTCTTGACTCAACAACCCTGGAATCTGACAGTGCCACATTCACACTGTTAAGAACCCTCAGCAACAGTAATTGTCAAACAACAATAAAAAAAAACACCTAAACCCAAGGTAGCTAACAGCCCAGTACTACCAACTGTTGAGCACTTGCCGTGACTGGGGACTACCAGGTACACACTTCAAACAAGTCAAAAGGGAAACAAGCAAAAAGTCTGGGAACAGCTCCCAGCCACTATGGGCTCGGGAAGATCTAGAGTAGTCCATGGCCCCTTGCAGCTTGCTGCTTTTAGGTTACCACTGAGTGTCCCTCTCAGCCTCACCTCTGGCTCCAGCAAAGGCTGCCCCCAAGTCCCCAGCCACCATCTGGCCACCTCATTACTGACTTCGGAAACAGTTTTTTTCTAAGTTACTTTTGCCACACCTTCACTTTAGAGATTGAAATAGAACTCTAAAAATATAGAACTCTAAAAGGGACCTGATCTGGCTAAAACCATTCAGTAGAAAATAAAGATACAAGCCAGATTTCACACAGTTCAAATTTAATTGTTTAATGAATGTATAAAAGTCACTTATAGTAGGTTTGTTCCTGCCTCCTCTCCATCATCATTACTACAATGAGGACACTGCAATTCGATAGTATTATCTAACAACCTCTTCTGCTTTAACATCACCCTGAACATGCAAAACCTTCTCCAGATAGAATTGCTCTGAACAGAAAATGCATTGCCTTACATTTTCAAAAATGTAGTTCAGCTTTCACAAACAGATTTACACTCTTTAACACTACAGTTCCCAATTATACTTTGTTGTAATTCAGAAAAGTCAAAAGAGCAATCTGGAAAGGGTGCAAATGGTTTGTTTTATGGATAACAACATGTGAATGCTATTATATCACACCTTTTCAGTGTAGGAATTTGAATTTAACTGTTGATATCAATACTTGCAAATGCCCCTCTGCACAGCATGAAGCATCAAGTAAAAAGCTACTTAGCCCATCAGAATTCCTGCCATGGTTTACTACAATTACTCAGTTCCAGGACAAGGGGATGGATGGCTTCTCCTTCCCTTGGCTGGGAAGCAGAGATGTCAAAAAATAAAACATGCTCCAAACTCAGTTGTATCCAAGACAGGCTTTTAGGAAGCACATGCACCTTAAGGCTACAAATGCAACAAATTAACTGTCTTTCCCACAACTACCCTCAGCCTTCTCTTGACACAAGCTTTTGAACAGCACACAAGACTTTTCTAAAGGTCACCATTCCCTTCTCCACGATGACATTTCAATCCTCTCCATGCACTGGTTTGAAGAAGATGCTACTTACCTCATTTTAATTAGTTTGTCATTACATACAGCCTAAAAAAAGTTACTAAAAAATACAAGCTATCAACAATCAACTCTTTTTCCACAAAACCACACTGGTGAGGCACAGCGCTTGAAAGGGCCATTAGCCATGAGTTTAAACACCTGCCACGGTAGAAATTTCTGCAACAGATTTGCTGGAGTTCCCAATCAGAAAAAGCCAAGTGTCAATTAACATTCAAAGAGACCCTAAGGCCAAAAGCCTTAAAAAACTACAAGTTCTTTTGAAATGGATCACTAAATAGCAGAATCTTTTTCCTTTCTTTCCAAAACATTTGTGCTAAAGCTTCAAAGATCATGGACATTTTACCAACACTAATAATACCATTCCTCAGATTACAGGATGTAGGTTTTAAGAGATCACCTGAATGTTATGTTTTAACAACTAGGACACTGGATTGATGACCCAAGTGTGCTGTGTTTGCTTGTGATAACAGCTATCTTCAATCAGTCTACACTGCCACACTGTAGCACTGAAGAGTGCTTAAACTAACACTGGTCACACAGACACCTGAACCAGCTCCAAAACTGGAAGCTGGATGCACTAATTAGCCTTGCCCAGAATGAGCAATTAGCCCTGTAGAGCACAGCCAAAACTGTCCTATCTTTCGTATCTAACCCAGTATCTTTACAAAGCTGTAAAGCAACACACTGCACATTAAAGTATGCTTGTCCTTAGTTAGTTCAGGTATTTTTTTATACCTCACTCCATGGACACAACAAACATTAACACTCTGCATTTCTAGAAGGAAGTCCCAAGTACTTGAAACATATCCAATCAATGTTAACTATTATCTAACTTCAAGATCTAAATGATCTAACTGCCTCTGTAGGACCATATAAAGAGTTATTTTACTGTATTGCTATGTGTAATAAGCACAAAAGTTTTAATGATTTAAGAGTTAGATCTGTCTACAACACTCACTCTGTATGAAGCAAGGTTTAGTTACTATGATAAACTTCCCTAACAGTAATTAACCTGTTATATTTCTATTTACATCAAGACAAGGGCATTAGAAAGGAAGTTCCTCATGTTCCCTTATATTACATTTTGAAGCAAGAAAAGAAGAAAGCCAGGAAAAATGTCACTTGAAGTGAGATAACTATTGCCTTTAAGTATCTGTGCACTCCAGATACTACCTTGCTAACTGTGCTGTAAACGTCTTTTCATAATCACTTCACAAATATATTGAAAATACAGTTATTCAGACATTAATGTGGCAAGTATTAAATAGAGGGAAACTTATATGAAGCCTACCTGCAGTCAATGCACTCCCAGAATATCTAAGAATTGGAAGTGCTCTTCATTATAAGTGGGAAGAAAACTGCAGGTGCCAGAGGATTCTTGGGGCAACAATTTCAAGAAATTCCCTGCACAGAATTTGAAAGGTGCCAGAATTTCAGCTGTCACAAAACATGCACAAGGAAAATGCCTGCTTGAGAGTTAATATAAGAAGTGTATTTTCCAAGTACTAAAAAGAATTTCAGAGAACAGTCCCATTAACACAGGCAGTGTGCATTTTAGTACTCAATTTCTTTGTACTTCTAAAAAAGCTTTTTCAAAAGCAAAAGAAAGCCTGCATTTCTCTGGAATAAAAAAAAACAGCAGTGAAGTTACTATTGGCCTCACATCGCAGAAACAGTTTTCTGCTTTTGACTACGAGTTCCTCTTATAAAAGCAAGTACCATCCAACACCCGATTCTCACGAGTACTATGCGAATTCCCGATTCCTTCTTGAAAATTATGCACAGATGGAGCTCTCGAAATCCTAGACGTATCCCATAGAAACGGAAGAGGAAAATCTCCACCTCCTCTTGCGCATCCCATCATCACGGACGCTGCCCGCCGCTCCCCCCCCCCCAAGCTCCTTGCCGGCCCCCGGCATTCCAGGGCCGCC